CCCCAGCCCTGGAGGGGTTCAGAAAACATGAGGACGTGGCACTTGGGGCCATGGTGTTGGGTTGATGGTTGGACTGGATCTCAGAGCTCTTTTCCAACCTCAATGACTCCATCTCAAGCCACTCTGCAGCCTCTCTTTAAATGCTTCCTGAATTCACATGAAGACTGTGACACAGGTTCCCAGTATCACCAGAATTGTTCAATCCCAAACCCTGTAGCCAGGCTACAAATCAATGACATGAGCTTGCCCAGCTCCCCTGTGCCCCACACAGGAGTCCTACAGTGCTGGGGCACTGGGAGCACTCATGGAAAGGATTCAACCTTTGGAGACACTTATGGAATACCACAACATGACCATGGAGTTCTGTGAGACCCAGGGCTCCCTTCTTCAGCTGAACTCATCTTGCTACTGGGCCCACCAGGGAGGCTCTGGAGGAACACTCAGATGCACCCAAACCACACAACAGAGACTTCTGGGTGCAAGGTTCTCCCTCACCTGAGGAATTTACTGTTCCCTTCTCCATCATCATCAAAATCAAGTCTGAAAAACAGAAGAAAGAAGGTTATTATTAACCAAGTGGTTTCTCCTTCACAGGTTGCTTTTTCACCTGTCCCTACAGGGATGCAGATAAACCTTGAAAGGCAGATTTAAGCAATCCCAGGGGCTGATGTGAAACATCCTGGGGAAGGGTCTAGAGGCCAAGTGTGGGGAGGAGCAGCTGAGGGAGCTGGGGGTGCTGCGCCTGGAGCAAAGGAGGCTCAGGGGAGACCTTCTGGCTCTGACACCTCCTGACAGGAGCCTGGAGCCAGGGGGGGGTCAGGCTCTGCCCCCAAGGAACAAGGGACAGGACAAGAGGAACCAGCCTCGAGTTTCCCCAGGGGAGATTTCAGTTGCCCCTGAGGAACAATTTCTTGCCCTGGAGGGTTGCCCAGGGCTGTGCCAGGCTGCCCAGGGCAGTGGTGGAGTCCCCACCCCTGGAGGGGTTCCCAAGCCGTGGAGATGTGGGGTGAGGGACACGGGGCAGTGGGGACCTGGGGGGACTCCAGGAGCTCCAAGCTCTCTTCTAACCAGAATGATTCTAACCCCCAAATTTTTGAAGAGGCCTTTACATGTCTGTCAAACAGAAAGTCCCCTTGGAGCCCTCACAGCACCACAACCTCCTGTTCCAAAAGCTCCAGATCTCACTGCAGCCCCTGTGAATCCCAACATGCTGCCACAACTGCTCCTCACTGCTCAAGGGACCCACCAACAGCCTCCAGGTGCAGAGCTCCAAACCCGAGAGCTTGGATCAGCTGCACTTGAAAAGAAAATAAACCAAGGGGAGGGCAAAATCCTTCAGGAGTTAAAGGTCAGCCTGGTGACCTGTGCAGTTAGTTCAGCAGCAGGCAACGTCATCCTGTTTGCTTTAACAGGGTCAAAAACTGTTAGCAAAGGCAGCAGGAGGAGCTGCAGGGAAGCAGGAGCAGCAAAGGGAGCTGAAGGGAAGAGTCTGAGTGACTGGGAAGGGCAGGGAGAGATTTTAATTAGCTGGGGAAGGAAGAGGAAATTTGTTGTGGCAGGAATTTGAGTGGCCACTCGATACCCTTTTCATTTGCAAAGGCATTTTTTAGCCAACACAACCCCTACCAGGAGCACCCTGCAGCCTCCCCATGCCCCCAGTTGTGGGCACAGCTTGGGAAGGTTTGAGCGAGGCCCCAACAGCTCCCCTTCCTCTGCTCCTCTACCTCTTGCAGCAACTGGCTTGTCTTGCTGCTCCAGCACCTCTCGTTTCACCCTCAAGCCTTGGGGAGCAGCTCAGCTTTTTAACCCCCTCTTTTTATCAGGAACACAGCCCTGGCTTTCACAGGCAGGAAGCATCATGAAGCAGAAGGACCAAACACACCCAGGAGCCAGGCAACTTCTTCACTTGGAAGCAGATCAGCTCCCTCATCACGACACCGACCACTCTTTCAGGGGAAAAATGCCTCAAAGGCTTCACAAACACGTTTCCCCCCCAAATAAAAGGGGCAGAAGCCACCCACTCACCCAGGCCTCCTCTTGTTGGCTCTCTGGATGGCTCCTCCAGCCGACGCCCCCGGGCCGGGGTTCCCAGAGCCCAGAGAGGAAACATCCGAGGCCATCTCTGAATGGGGGAGTGGAAAAGGAGACAAGAAAGCAGGGTTACGTCAAAGGGCCCCTTTCACCTCCCCCCAGGCTGTGCTGAGGGTCTGTTTCAAGCCTGGAGCACATGCTGGTCTCATAAACTCTGGAGTTTAGATCCCTAGAAGCTGTAGGGAAGAGCTCTGTGGTCTCCTCAGCCCGACGTGGTCGTGGGCAGGGGCTGAGCCCCCTCTCAGATGTGAGCACGCAGAGTTAGGAGCCTGCCTAATTAACTCTGCCTCTCCAAGAGGGTTTATTTCCCCATCTAGGAGACAAAGACTTCACCAAGATGCTTCTAAAGTGCCTTCCAAACCACCCTCTTGCAGACAGACCCTTCTCGTCTTGAGCAGCGCTGACCCGGCGTGGGGACTCGTCCCTACCCACACACCCCGAGCCAAAGGAGGTAATTTTGGGGGAGAACTGCTACAACCTCCCTCCAGCACGACAGCAAAACTGCTTGGAGTTAAACCCAGCTGTGTTTTACAGGGAGGAAAGTTGTGCAAGTGATCAGGAACCACAACAGTGCTTCCAAGAGGTGAAACAGGGTGTGGAATCCACCGTCACGAGAGCACGCCACCCAACAGCTGCTTCTAGGTACTCACAGGGGCTGAGAAATTAAAAAGCCTACTTCAGGCAGTGAAAATAAACCTTTTTTTTCCCCTTTTTTTCCTAATCTCAGTTGTTTAGGAGCATCCTTAACAGGCTCTGGAGTCATTCAAAGCTGGGGGTTGAACTCCAACCACGTCGGAAGGCCGAGAGCGGCGTTCAACGTCCTCCTCCATCAACATCATCTGAGCTGCACCAGAAACGAGCTTGGAAACAAAGCAGGAGACATTTTGTGCCCATTTCTGAAAGAATTCAACCTATTTTTTAACAATGGAACTCGCTTCCAGCTCCACACTCAGTAGCTCAACACCAACAGTCCCAATGGACAGCAGGAGCAAGCACGTTTCATTTCAACACCAACCACAGCAACAAAATGTGAGGTCTGGGCTGAAGTTCCCAAAAAAAAGGATGACTTGAGGACAAAGAATCAGGTATGGAAATAGATTTTTGAGAAGACAAATGATTGGAGGTTGGTGTGTGTGAACACCCAAGGGCTCTGCTGGGAAATGGGCTGTGGAATGATTTGGGTTGGAAGGGACCTCTAAGGGTCATCCCATCCAAATCCCCTTCACACCCCCAGCTAGGTCGAGCTGCTCAGGGGTCCTTGGGTGGATGAAGTCGAGTCAGTTGATGGGATGGCCTTAAATTAAAGAGTTTTTTTTCCTTGCAGCCCATTCTGGTGGGACCACAGACCTTCCCTGTGTCCTCACTGCTGGATTTCACAGCACTTGGCCCCCTCTGTGCCCCTTTATTGCTGAGGGAAGCCCTGAGTGCAAGTAAAGCAGGTCAGGAGCTTTGTTCCCTTTCCCCAGGAGCTTCCCAACACACAGGTTTAAACCTGAACAGAGAAGGAGCTTTCTGGAGCAGGGCAGAGAAGGGTTTTATCAAGGAGGGAGGAATTTCCTCTCTCAGGCAGGGGAAGGAAGTGACACGGGGCTGTTCCTCTGCAAATCAACTCAGAAGCAGGCTGGAGGGGGAGGGAAGGCCTCTTGGTTTGGGTTTGGATCCCTCCACAGCAGCACTGGAAAGCCACCAGCTCCAAGCATTAAAGATTGAGTAGCCAGAGGCCACCAAAGCCCCAGCCAACAGAGCCAACCCAGTTCCAAGCAGATCCCAGTATGTTATAACCTACAAAACACCAGTTTCACAACTTCAAAACTCCAGTCAGGGGAAAGGGGCTGGGCAGCTGTTGAAAGCTGAGACCAGCAGTTCCCAGTGCTCAGCTCTGACTCATACTGGGACCCAAAGTGGTGACAAGGACACTTTTCAACTACCCCCAAAAACCAGAAGAGGCAATGAATGTATTCCTAGGAAACAAGCAACAGGACAAATGTTTGGTTTAGTTCCTTCAAAACTCAGCAGAGGCACCAATGGCTCTTTCTCAGAGGGCAGGGTGGGTTTCACAGACTCACTGCCACCAAGGAGCAACATCATCCTCATTGGGTGTTGCTCAAACCCTCCTCAGAACCAACCCCAGCTCGTCTTCAGGGTGTTAAACCCAATTAAACCCAGGAGAGAGAGGCTGGAGAGAAACCACGGAGCCTTTTTGTAACTGGATCTACATCTCCAAACACAACCAGGGCTCAGCCAAGGGAAGGAGCTGGAAGCTGCCAAAGGGAACGTCGTCTCCAGAGCCAGATTTCCAGCCCTGCTCTCCTGGGGAAAGGCTCTGTTGCAACTGCTGCCATCTCAAGAGTGGAAAAAAAAAAAAAGAAAACCCAGCAGCTTCAGAAGAGTCCCAGAAAATATCCCAAGCTGTGATTTATTTGGGGCTGTCGTGGCTCCTCCAGGAGGTTTTTACCCCCCCCGCCCCGTGGAACGAGCACATGGTTGTTTCCACATCTGGTTCCTCCCCAGGCTCAGGCTCAGGCAGCACGTTTCAGCAGAGCAAAATTTGGCTTCAGCTTCACTGTGAGTGAGCTCCCCAAACAGCCAAAGAAGTTGGGAGCAGGGGGAGAGTTGCTGAGATAAAGCAGGAAACTCTTCAACCCACCAAAGCTTTGGTCTGAGCAGCTCAGGAGGCTCTGGCTTGACAAAGTGTCTCCGTTTCCCTCTCACAGATGGATTTTTTAAGGAGGGATAGGGGGGGTTGAAGTTGTTTGAACCTCCCATGCAACGCCAGCTCAGCTCTCTCACCCTCATGGGAACCTTCTCTGAGCAGCACTACAGAAATTAGGTGAAAAACCAACAGAGACAAGGATTCACCTTCCACTCTGCAGCGTTGGAAATCACTCATTCACAGCAGGAAACGTTGGAAGGGGGGGATGATCCATCACACATTCATCCAGGCAGCACTAAAAGTGTCCTAATTATCTGAGTTAATATTAAAACCTGTAAAATAACACAAGTAAAGCAAACCACCTTTCTTATTTTAACCCCTCCTCCTATTTCCTCCTGGTTAGAGATTCTCTTTTCACTCCTAACCAAGAGGCTTTTAAAATTTCCTTAACTTGGCACAACTGAAAGTTTTCAGCCTCATACTCTCCACCATCTAAGCTTTTTTTTTCAGTGAAATAAGACTCCTCACACCCTGGGCAAGAGGATTTTCCAGATTTCTTTTTGCCCAACACCGGAGCCACCCACAAATAAGTGGCCATTTAGTTTTGGGGTTGGTTTTGCCACCTTTGGCCACAACTTGGTCAAGCTGTGAGGATTATTCAGTGTACTGGGGGATTATCCAGTATTCCCTGCAGCCCATTTTTCAACATCAAGGAAAAGAGGACCCAGCTTCTGAGGAAAAATGTTTAAAAATTATTTGTTATGCTAAAAATCTCTGCATATATAATGTTCATTCGACTGTTTTCTCCCTCTGTTTAAAAGGGCCAAGTCAACACTGGTCACTTTGCTTGTAGTTATTAAACACAGATGTTCAAAGTTCTCTTTTCCTCCCAAATTTGTTGAAAACTTTCCCATTCTCTAAAATACTGAAGTCTACACTGACATAAACACTTTGCAATGCACTAACAGCATAAAGGCACGAGTATCTTCCCCTCTCATCCACTGGGCTGGCTCAGAACACACCATTTTCCCTCCTCACCCCAAGCAACATCATTTTTTTTTTTTGGCTTTCCCTTTAGCTACACATCCTCTGTCAGCCAAACTGCAAAGCCTTGATCTGGGGCTGCTCTGGCAAGGAGGAGCAGTGAATTTCCTGACAGAGCCCACGCCACCAATACACACCCCTAAGATTTTACTACTCGGAATAATCTCACCCTTCCACGGGATGTTGTTGTGAGTTAAAGGCATTTTGCTGCAGGATGGGACCAGGGCTGTGAGAGTTTCTGTTTCAGATCAGGTTTTCTTCAGCTGAATCAGGGATTCTTGGGTTTTTTTTTTCCTAGCATGCCACCTCTGCGAGCTGACGGATTTCGGGTCGTTCTGTGAAACCACAACCACGTCTTTCCAGACACAGGCTCTGCTCCCTCACCTCACAACCACCACAGGCAAGTGACCCGTGGTGTTTTCTCAATGTTTAAAGCCACAAAAACTTCCTCTAACCTTAGAATGAAAAAAAATCACCCTTCAGAAGTTCCATTGAACAGTCCCCGATAAACCTGAACACGTCACACGACCCAAGACCTCGACAGCCTCAAGCCACAAGCAAGGAGAGTCAGAAACCACAAGCCAAAAAAACAAATGAAAACAAACCCAACCAAAAAAAAAAAAGCCCAAAAAAACACACAAGCTCCAATTCTGATCTCAGTCACCACAGTGTAAATCCATCACAACTTCACAGACGCTGGGTTATCCCGGGTACACACCAATTTCAGAGCAATGTCACCAGAAATCTGATAAAGCCTGGAAGATTTGATTTTATTCAGAAAGTATCAGAGCTCACTAACTTTCAGCTTCTTCTGAGCAGGGAGTCACCTCTCAGTTATCGACCTGAGGGAGCAAAAGTTGAGAGAATGTTCCTCTCACACCCTTGGTTATGCAGTGGCCGTTCAGCTCAGCAGCATAAAAAGAGGCAGAGAAAAAGATTCCTAAAAACGCTTCTTAAAACAGCACCTCGGATTTTGTCTGTTGTTAATTAAAAAAAAAAAAACCACAATGAAGCACGGAGCACAAAAACAAAAAGGTTTAAAACCAACATAAACCCCTAAGGACAACAAACATGAGTGAGTTCAGTGCTGCTCCCTCCTGGGAGGATGATGATGGAAACCAGCCCCCAGGAGCAGGTAGAGCAGAGGCGGCGGGTGAAGCATCACCGAGCTCCCGGAGGCGACAAGCTCACAGGGGGTTCCCTCTCTCTGCCCCTTCCCTCCTTCCCAAAACCGCCTGGTGAGGTGCCTCCTTCAGAACTTTGTGCCACCTGCCCGGCACGCTGCTCTCCAAAGGCAGCGCTCCCCCAGCCGGGTCCCTCAGCACCTTCTCC